TTTCAATTTCCTTCTTAGACTATAGTAAGAAAAGGAGAGCTTGAAGTACTCGAAAACAATATTTAAAGGGAAGCAATTGTTCTAAGATTGTAAAAAAGGCAGTGTTCATGAATGTCTTGCCAATGAAAGGGAGAGAGGCTTTGTTGCAACTCTGGTTCAGCAGGACAGCCAACGCGAGCGAGGGGTACAAGAAGTTTTCCTCCTTTGCTTTTCTTTTGCCTTGACAGAGGAGAAACAAAGATTGGCATGTTGGGGCCCGAAAGCCTGGTACACCAGAGATTAAACATATGCAGAATCCAGCTTTCTATCCCTTACGCTGCTGCTGCTATCACACTCAAAATTCACCTATGCTGCTAGAGGAAAGTAGAATGAACTTTGCGAATGTTGACTTATTAATCTCCTTCATGTTGATCCATTTGAGATCAGTAACTAACTTGAAAGGGGAATCATGAGTCTGACCAATACATGGAAAAGTAATCTAACCTGCATTAACCTTCTTCTCTATCTTTGAGTATCGAATGCAAGAGGAGATTTTGGGATTATAAAAACATGAGAGAGCAAAAAAGTGGGTAACAGGAAGTGAAGTGAAGGCCTTGAGGAGTATCTCCTCTCCTGCATTGATTGGGGACTCCACGTGTACAAACAGGTTTTGCTTCTAAAGCCACTTGGTTAATGCCAATTTATGCTTGCCATGTTGTCATCATCTTTTAATGCCTGCATCATGAATTTGGTTACCTCCCTAGTAAGGTTGTCAACCCTCGGTTGACCCGCACCCGAGCTAGTGGGTTAAGGGTTAATGGGTCACCTTTTAGCCCGGTTTGGCCCGGAAATATAGAAAGAGTCATGATATTGCACTTATCCTCATAAATTATATCAAATCTTATCTAACATATGAGTTATAACATATAATATTACACCAAAATAACATATCGTACTTAGATCCAACATATAGTGAAAATTCACACACACTTATATAACATAAATATTCAAATGTTCAACTTAGTATTCCAAAGATTGAGTTAGGCGAAAAGAAAATTGGAAAATAGGCGCATTTCGCAAACTAAAGAAAAAAATGACACAATTTGACCTCCAACCCGGTACTAATAGCGGTCGGCCCGGCGGTGCGTGCGGCCGTTTTTCTCACCGGGTCAGGGTCTCTATTCACCTTATTGCTTTCTCATTTTATAGCTATCAACTTAATGTATTTGAGAAAAGTGAGGGACATAGCTAGGATTGGAAGTGATATACAGGCTAATACACATATTGTACACTCTGTATAATCATATTACCTCTATAGAGGGATGAAAATTTATGGGCTAATATTTACTGATATGAGTAAGATAAAAGATAAAAAAAGTCCACAATCATCAAACTGCAAAAATCAAGATAACAGAAATGTCAATTGTTTTTTTGCAACGTACAGGTCGACCTGTACACAGTCAAGGTCGACCTCATTGGACACACGGTCGACCTTATTGGACAACCGGTCGACCACACGTACTAGAAAAACGTCTTACTTGTCCCAATTCTTGTCCCCAACCTTCTCTTTAGTAACAACATAATACAAGTCTTCAACTGGATTTTGAAGATTTTTGGTGAATCCTTCTAGACCCTCCACTTTCATGACCTACAAATCATAGTTAAAATTAAAGTAACATATGAACACAAACACACATTATAGATGAAAATGTAACGTAAACTTACCCCGTGCTTTTCGAAAGGACTCTTAGATTCATCTTCATCGCTATCATCACTAAATAATCCCTTTCTTACAAATTGATCCTTCTGTGGAGTGGTGTAGGAGTCACTTTCATATCGCGGTCTCTTGTAATTAGGAGAGGAACCCTTGCGGCCATTCTTTGTTTCACTCTGTCAAACATATAAACAAAACAGATTAGCACTAATGATAGTAATACTAATATCTTCAATCACATATGAATATACTTGGATACCTTTAAAATGTGCTCTTTCAATAAATCGTCTATGCTCTGGTAGCAATTTTCAGAGTCATCATGGTCTTCCTCCTCTTTACCAAAGTCAAATTTCTTTCCTTTACCATTTCTTCCGCCATTCTCCATTCGTTCTGCACTTATATCTTTGATAGCACCTTCTAGCCTCTCAAACCCGTCATGCATCATCCCAGTCATATCTGTCAGTCGAACTGACAAATGCTCGACTTGTGTTTGACACACCACCAGCTTCTCTTGTGTGGCTTTCAACAATTTCATGATTTCACCCAAATCTTGATGCAGTTTCTCATCATGCGTCATCGTCTAAACAATTTAAAGAAAAATTAAAATCATAATTCAAGTACAAATTTCTATAATTGACCAAAAAACAAAGACGTGGTCGACCTAACAAAGTATTAGGTCGACCTGTAAGACAAATAGTGACTACCACAACTCGTCAGGTCGACCTCGGTTATTCCTAGGTCGACCTATCCAGCATGAAAATAACAATTACAAACAAATAGTAAGTTCAAAATTAAACCGAAAAAAGGACAGGTCGACCAGATATCTGGCGCGGTCGACCCTTTCAAGCACAACATAGTGATACAAACAAAGCCAAAGTCGACATTCAGGTTGAATAACCAAAAAAAAACATATACGGTCGACCTTGAAACTCATTAGGTCGACCGATTGGGTTACCTCGCAAGTACAGAAGTCCAAGTGTTGTGGCCTAAATTCAACTACGAAGAATTGTCTCGTCAGGTCGACCTGGTGAACGTCGCGGTCGACCGAATTGGATTCTGCACCCAACAATATATCAAGTTAGCCGGTGGAAATCACGCATTAAAAAAGAAGACGGTGAATGCTACTTTAGGTCGACCTCACCTTAGACCTGGTCGACCACTTCCAACACGTACAACAGCAACCGCGAACGATCTTCTTCACAAAGGCTCTAAGTCGGAAAAAAACATAATTCAGACTTGGTGGCGTTTAAGGGGACTCATATTCGTATTTATAGAGATTTGGACGTGAATGGGTCGACCCAATTCGTTTCCTTGTCCAATTGTGGAACCTTTCTGGTGTTGGAATCCATATCCAATACGGATACGGTCTGACGGCGGTCGACCTGTTCCCAATGCGGTCGACCTGTTAGGTGCACAAGGGTCGGCCTATGAGATATTTGGGTCGACCTGTTGCTCTGTTAGACCACCAAAACGGTCGACCGCATTTTGTAAGAGGTCGACCGCCTTCAGGAACCCAACATACGTGAATTAGCCCATTCGGTCGACCGCAAGTTGTATTCGGTCGACCGAAAAGTCCATGTCACGGTGACATGCATGTCACCGTAGCAAAATCCTAAAAGATATTAGAGTCGAATCCCACAAAAAATCAAGTTATTAAAGAAAATTGTTACTCGATGTGATAATGCAGTAACACAAAACTATTGTGTATTGGAATCTCTATAACTTCTAGCATGCATTAACCAATGTCGTTAAAACCGAACCGGACATCGATCCGGATTAATAAGAGGTTCAAATTTTATCGAATAACCGTTGATTAATCGGTATTAACAACCGGTCATAAACTGTTACTTTCATTCCTTCTGCTGCTTTAGTTCCATTTTTTATTGGGTTATATGTATAATATGCCTCTCTACTATGTAGTTTTATCAAATATGCCCATTTACTATTTTTTACATCAAATATGCCATTGTACTTTGGAAAAATTATCAAATATGCCCTTCTGTTAAAATTTTCATTAAAAAAATAGTCAACCATGGTTGAACCGAGATGTAGACGACCCCACATCGGCAAATGAGAGGAAAAATGTCAGTTTTGTCCCCCATTTTATTTTTCTATGTCTCGTTAAAGTGAAATTATTAGAGGTAATTGGCTCTACAAAATAACCCAAAAATTTCTAAAGTGAAATTACCAGAGATATTTTAGACATTTGTGTCACCCAAACCAAGGTACGACCGTGGTTGACTGTTTTTGGATGAAAATATTAACAGAAGGGTATGTTTGATCATTTTTCTAAAGTACAGGAACATGTTTGATGTAAAAAATAGTATAGGGCATGTTTGATAAAACAACGTAGTAAATAGTAAATGAGCATATTATACCTATAACATTTTTTATTTAATAATTAAAAGAATACAAAAAAGTATGCGGTAGATGATTGTTTCCCCAACCCGCCTGTTTCATAGCTTCTGGGACCGAACTTGTGCCCGGGTCCTGGGTTTTCCCGGTCTAGCCAGCCGGTCCGCTCCGGCTTTAATAATTGTGGCATTAACACAAATCTATACAAATTAGACTTACATAAGATACATATAGTGCAATATTTATACAAGATTTATACTCATTGAATACTTTCTATTATTTTAGCTTGATTTTTGTAACTCCACTTTTGAATTATTGTTTCAAGTTTTATCATCTTAAAATAAGAATGATCTATATTTTTAATTGGAAATATTTATTTTTAATTGCATGACAAACTTTTTGTATTTGCTATACCTGTTGTAATAAATAACATGCATTTGTTCTAATTTGCTCTCTCATTTTTATTTTCATATAAAAATTCTTCACCCAACTTATATATATCACCGCAGCTTTTGACATTTCATGACCTGAATAAAGGCATAGAGAAAACAAAAAATGTAACATTTTTTTCGTTGAATAAAAAAATGTAACATTTTCTAACATAATCTTTATTATTCAATCGGTCTATTTAAAATTACGTGAATGATCATTCTGGTGACATATGTTTACCTCTAGATAAAAGCTTACAAACGTTTAAATTATAACACATTTGTCACATAACAATGTAATATGTTTCGAAAGTTATTTCTTAACTTCGTATAATTTTTTCATTAATTTAGGCGAAGGAAGCAAGCAAAACTACAAAGAAAAAAAAAGCACCACTACAATGAGAAGAACAACCCGGCCAAGGGCCGGGCTCTGTGCTAGTAATTGATATGAAATGTATAGTTTTTGGCTCGTTGCACTCACAGTCACAGTTTATCTTTGCTCTCATGTGTTGATGTTGAACAAGTGATCATCAAAGTGACAAACCTCAAGAATTGAGCTAACACGACAACAATCTTCCATTGTATTCAACGATTCTTCACATGAAAACAGGAGTCTTTCAGAGTTCCACTAACAGAACTAAAAAGCTAACAGAACCAACTCCAGCACTGTAACAAGACCACAAAGGTCATTCATTCTTCACAAAACAAAGAGCATAAACTAAAACAAGACATAAGCATAAACCCTTCTTTGTCTCTCTTCAACCCACGTTCACACTCCAAAGGAAGGATCTTGACAACCTTTCAGTTAGAAACCAATCGTGGAGCTGCAGTATCATCACTGAACACCTTGGCAATCCTCTCAGTAGGCACGAGAGGCAAGTAAGAAGAGACCTTGTAACCTTTCTCAGCAGTGCTGGCCACAGTCTCGTTGTACCTCTCGGACCAATAAGCAGCCGTCGGGACAACCACTTGAGCCACCTGAGGGAAGAGGGGGAGCTGGTTGAGCCTTCGCCAGGCAGAGACAGCACACTGCTCGGCTTTAGGCTCGTAGACGGTGTACAGTTCCTTCGCCTTTGGCTCGTACTTGGTGTAGACGGTTTTCGCCAACCCTGTCATGGTCTCCTTCACACCAGATCGCTGCACCTCGGTGGCCACAGCACGTGCAGCTCCCGGGGCAGCCTGTGCTGCCGAGAATGCTTGGGCCGACACTTGCTTAACAACTGGTGGCACGCGCCGGTCGATGCTAGTAACAGATTCGTCTACCTGTTTAGTTAAACAGAGGGGGTAAAGGGAGCAAAAACATGAGAAAAGAACAACCCTTTTCGTTCCTTTTTTAACCAGATAGAGACCGAGGCTTACAGCCGCTGTGGTCCATGAACCATGAGTACTGGACCATGTTCATCATGGTAGGAGAAGATAATCCATTCAAATTTCAAACATATACTTCATTTTATAAACAGAAGCAGATGGTTGTCCCATAAAGGAGGGCCACTTGATTACTTTAGCATGTGACCAAAGGGATGGGGGAAGTTTGAGACCTGACAACAAATATCTACCAAAAGGAAACGATCATGGCACTCAGACCAAGAATCAATACTACAACTTAGATTCTCAGACTAATGAGCTGCAGAAAGCAAGTAGTAATAGACAAATGACCCCATATCAAGATTCCCTAACTCGATACTATTTCCTGATTGATTCAAAATACCATTTGCCCTTTTAAGGAATTCCCGCAAAACAGAAACAAAATTTCAAACCCAAATGTAATGAGCTAATCAATCAATGAAATTGGCAGGAGAGTGCTACTTTAATCCCAATACGGTACCCAAACTCCCTAACTTGCAAATCTCCCACTTGCTCATTGTTCAAGGACTCTACTGAGGGCTAAATTGCAGGAAAGGAGAAAGAATCGTCACCTTGCGATCAACGAACTTGAGGACTTCAATGGGAACGTCCTGGAACTTATCATAAACAGGGCCAACCACGGTCTTAACAGTTCCTTCGACGGTCTCGACGCCAGGCTTCAACGGACCCGCCTTGTCCTTGGCGTAGACGTAGAGGTTCGTGAACGTCACCAGAGCGTGAAGAGCTGCTGCTTGCACAAATTCCAAGTATTTCAGCCTCTCCTCCTCCTCTTTCGTCTACACAACACAAATTGAAAACAACAAATAAAAATCAAACATCCACCTGAGCTATCCACGCACGGACTTCCGAACTCCGATAATGAAGCGATCATAAGGATCCCGCTTCGTTCTAAGCCATTATTGAAAGGTTGTAAGTCCCTCGACCGAGTTTCCGCCAGAGAAGAACCTCTGAATCGAACATGAAATTGGGGAAAACAAAAACAAGGGTTTAGTAAGTGGAGATTACGAACCAGTGGAGCAGGAGTTGCGGGATTAGCGTTTGCTTCAGCCATTATCGCCGGAATCTGATTAGGCGGAGGACGACTGCCGATCGGAATCGGGGAAAGGAAACAGGGCAACTTCTCCGTAAGCGTGGAGACGGAGAGAGAAAGATCGGAGGCGAACGGCGTGATTTGAGAGAGAGAACTTTCTTTGTTGGTGGTTGGTTGGTTGATTGACGGAGTGAGAAGAGGAAGGGGGTTTTATTTATAGGAAACGTGATCCTACGTGTGAACAAGAGGGGGCATGAGATGGATACGTGTCGGGATGTGATTCGAAGGATGGGAACACGGCGTTAGTATTGAGGCGAGGGAGGGAAGACGGTGGGACTGTCCGTTTGGAGTCTTGTTGGCTAAGTTTCCGGGGAAGGCCTCAACTCGAAACGCTTCCCCAAACAGACGCGTTTCTTTTTCTTAAATTAATTTATTACTTATTTCATCTTAGAATTAAATATTTTGAAAATTCCTATTCGTCGTCCTAAAAATCCTTATCCATCACCCTAATTATATTAAACTAGCATTGGGCCCGGCCCGTTGGCCGGGATTAGCAAATGTTGTGATAACATTCTATACAAACGACATAAAATGAAGACTATTTGATGACCCCTAGAAGGAAGCAACATTTTGGCTACATCATTAACATAATCAACCAAGATGTTCCTGCTACAATCACACATAAGCATACGGTTGGTGTCATCCATAGAACTCAAACACAGGTTGTGTAGCCAAAATCTCCAAAGTTAAATTCAGCTAAAGCACAAATAACCATTTTAATTAGATCACAGTTTCCCTCCACAATTTTGCACGTTTAATTCACCTGCTTGTTGTATTTGTACATGCTGGGGGGAGAGACCCACAACCAGTGTTGTAATCCCTTGACAGCTTCTTCGTTTCCATGAGAGCTTTGAGCTGACAGAGGAAAATATAATTTTAGATGATGATCAGCCTCCCTTGTGTGGCAAGTGGGGGCAAAGCCGCAAAGGTCGACACTCTGAAGACGGAATACAATAGTTTGTCTCCTTTAACCGATAACTGGGGTTTGGAATTTCAACCTAGGTTTCCTGCAAAAGCCATAAAGAATTTTGGTATCACAATTGGAGAATAATAGCCCCATTTGGCATTCTAGTGGACCCACCATTCCCCATCAACATGTCTGCTCCTCCTTTTGCATGCCCCCTAATTCCTCCTTCCACCGCTTCCCCTGCTTCCTCCGCTTTAAATTCCACTCTTCGCTATTATTGTTGTGTTTGGATTGCTTATTTTGCTTTTGATGGGTTTGATGCCCAAAATGAATCTTGCTTATGTGCATGCAGGGAACAGATATATAAGTATGGGATGAATCACACAGAATATTCAGCTATGGATTAGCCTCCTTCTTGAGAAACTGGGGGAAAATGTGGACACATATGAATAGGTTTAGGATGGTCCATACCTTTGGCCTTTGAGAGCAAATCAGCAAAAACAAAGTCGGTTTTTGAAGGCACAGAGCGAGATAGAGAAGGATTGTTTCCTCGACGGTTGGATTTGGGAGGGAGTTCCGAGGACATATGTCGGGAGGCACTGAGCTGGGGCTTGGGGGAATAAAAACATACTGAAAGATAAATAAGACCAATAAGTTGTTGTTGCGTGAATAAAAACATACTGAAACTGCTTATAATTGAAAAGCAAACCACATCAAGCATAACATCTTTCTTTGGAATAAACGACATGGTAAGATACTGTTTGAATAAACATAACCTGAAACTCCAAAGATAAACAAACCAAAGCAAGCTGAAAGTGCATTCTTTTGGATTAGCCACATAAATTGCAGGAATAAGTTGTTTTTGAATTAGCACAACATGAAAGTCCTATTATAAGCAGAATACAAAAGTTGAACCTAGTTACCAACATGCCAAGCAAACCACGCACTAACAATCCAACATCCCACGTATGAGAAACAAACTACCAAATACAATGTTCCTAACCTGAACCTTACCATCAAACAAATCATTCTAGTACTACGCAATGTCCGAGACAACAACATGGATTCTTTTTCTGCTTCTTCAAGGTACTCCCTCTTAGACCTCCAGAACTTGGATAAGTGTCGTAGCTTTCCTCTAAGTTTGGTTCATCTTGTGAGTTGTTGACACTGGTACAAATATCTCCCTTATCAGTGGCATCAACCTTGAATCATGGTACCTAGGTATCACTGCAAAAGTTTGAAGCTCTGCCTTTAGTTTGTTGTCCATTACTGTGATTGTTTGACTACAGTAAAGTAATGCATAATTATAATCATCCGTAAAACTGTTATCATGTAATAACCACTAACAAATCATATAAGTTAAGATGTAATACCCAACATATCCTTAAATACAACAACTAATTGCTAAAAGATGTGACAGTAGTAAAGAAATGTTGATGCAATCATAACAAAAACAATTTCAGCAATTTGATCAAGCTACTCTTTTAGCAACTTTGACAACATAATGATCAACTACTTTGATGTTCAATTCGAGTATATATAATGGAAATCTCATCTTTTAGAGAGTGAATATTGAAGCATGATTAACGGGACAATAGATAGAGAAATTGAAGTTGTTGTAAGCCTTTGTTTCTTTGCATTTTGAAGCGCAAGACAGAGGAATTGCAGTGGAAGGTTTTAAGAAACAGAATAATGAACTCTTTCTAAGTAAATAGCAGGTATAGCCTTGGAATATTAATTATTATAACAAAAGCCCACCACAAAGGTTACAGATAATTTGCAGCACTCGCCACCCACATTTGGCCTTGTATCAATCACACCACGTATCCAATCTACCACTACTCTCAGAAATATCAAATTCAATTGATCTAACCCCTAAGCTCGATAACAATGATCGTCACACACCATTAATTTCAGAACGTTCGAAGGAAGTTAGGAATAACCTTATTGCCGCATTGTGATGAGTCTTGCCGGAAGCCTGAGGCGCGGGAATTAGAAGGGGGTGGTGGCGAGGTTTTGGGTTTGTAGACAATGGCGCTTGGGGGGGGGGGGGGACTTAACTGGCGGAGCCTGGGGTTTGCACGACAATTAAGCCATGGAGTAGTGAGATGGAACAAAAAGGGAGGGGAAAGAGAGTGATCGCAGTTCAAGCCTCTTTGTTCTTCCCAATCAGACCTCCAACCCATAGATTTTTGATAGACCGCAACTCCCTTTGAAACGAAGATACAAACTTGCGAATCAAATTACAAAAGGAGAGGGACTAAATTTCCAGATGGAATCCATGAGAAATAGTATAGAAGAAGAAAGAAAGTTTGAACATTCGAAACACACCTTCTGTTAGGCCGAGAGCATATTGAAGTGAACGCTGTCGAGGACAACGCTTGGGGGTATTCCGGGATCAGATTGCGCATTGCGGCAAGGATGGCGGTCAGGCGTGGGCTTTCCGGGAGGCTTGGGAGACAGACGGTCAAATAGCGAGAAGGGGTATGAGCGAGAGCGACGACATCGGGCATTTTAAATTTTTTGCTCGCCGGCGAGGGTTGAAATATCGCTTTCGAGGGCAGCGCTAACCGCTAAGGATGGCGGGAGCTGTGGTTGGCGGGTGGCGGAGTTCAATTTTTTTAGGGGAGTTAAAGGATTAAGGAACTGGCTATCGATTCGTCCTAGAGAGAGACGGCGAGAGAAATAGCGAGCGACGACGGGAAAGGGAAGGGCGGGGGCAACGCCGGCCATTTCTGCGCTTTTGAGAGGCAATGAGGTAGAGGAGGGGTCGGATTTTCTGGGATGGTTGAGCTAGAGAGATAGCGAGAAAGAGAGGAATTGAGAATGACTGAAAAGCCCATCCGCACTGTGCGGGTTGATCATGAGGGGCTGACGTGGCAAAGGCTCTATTTTGACATTGCCTTATAGTATTTTGTAGATGACTGTATGCAATAAACAATAACTATCAACTAAAGCAAACAAAAAAAAATTATAGAGGTAAGATTTGAATCCTGTAAATAGTACTTAAAAAAATTGTACCATCCTTATATAAAAAGATTTCTATAGTTGCAAACTATTTAGCAAAAATCTGTAGTTTATACCCTGCAAAAGTTTATAGCTTTTTACTGTACTTTGTTGTACTATGTTGAAATTGCTTCACTATAGAAAGTTAATTTAATTTGGGAAGAGGGAAATAGAGGCAACATTGACAACCATAAAATGAAGGGCAATTACAATGGTAACATATTAGTAATTCCTACTTAAACTGAGAACCCACCATTTTATAAACCCCTGCTTCACCGTCAACAATTTGAATACAATTCTTTTTTATGGCCCGACAAATCCTAAGCAGATTAGAAGTTAATTAAACAAATGCAATGTATCTATAAAAATTAAAAAAAAAAATCAATGTAATCCTAAGAAAGAAAAAACAAATATTGCCATGAAATTAAACTTTTAAAACATTAAAGCGGACGCAAGTCCATCTACTTTGCTTACAGGAGCAGGAAGAGCACAAAAATAGTGGTGGGATATGCATTCCCGCCGAATGGATGGAATATCAGTTTGAGCGACAAACTAACAAATAAAAAACGAAAATAAAAACTAACAATTGAAAATGGGGAATTTACTAAAGAGACCTCCCGATAGGCACGGGTTAGCGAGCAGAGGCTTACGTGTCAGACTCCTTTTTCTGACATTGCCTTATAGGTATTGGTAGATAACCATGTAATCAAGGCGGTCAAGCACTGCACCACCGTAACTCTGGAAGCCGGAAGCTCCACCGTCCATAGCTTCGACAACCGGTCGCCGTCGGGAATCAGATGTCCCGTAAATCCGGTGTCCACCCGACGTGGAATCGGCGGCTCCGCCGCTACTGAGCCGGGAGCTAGTTGAAGATCCAAAAACTATCAAATTTCATAATCCATTACCATTATTGCAGGATCCACGTGAATCGCTTCAATGTGAAACACAATTCCCCATAGGCCTAATGAAGGGATGTGATGGGCTTGTGACTAGCTATAATTGATTTGAAGTTGTTACTTGTGGTCCTAAAATTTTACTTTTTGCCTTTTTGGAACAAAATCACTATTGTGACCGGCCTGTTGACCGGTGGGTAGTCTTTAGGTGGATTCGATAAGAGCTTTATTTTCTATTAAGAATTAGTGGGAAGTAGGTATTCAGTGGATTTTGATTGCATTGGAATGTGATTTCAGAAGAGGAATCTTATATCTCGTTGAGAA